TATTATTATTATTATTATTATTATTATTATTATTATTATTATTATTACTATTATTATTTCCCAACTCTTTTCTCGGACAACTCTTTACCTCGGGCTCCTCCGAGAAGTGCAAACTTTCCCCTTCGGGTCTGATGTCGAGTTGTTGAGTCGCAGGGGCTTCAGGGAAGGAAATAAAGAGACGTTGGGAAACTTCGGGCAGGACGAGGGGGTGGGTGGTGAGGAGGGGTGGATTTGAGGGCTTTCTCTCTTCTTTAAACTTTTATATCGGGGACCGGTGGAGGGAGAACCGTGTTAGTAAAGCGGAGTCACACATCATGTACGGAGCATCAGTCCTACATGTTTAATCAGGACATGAAGCGTCTCTCCCTCTTCCCCCCCCTTCCCCCCTCCCCCTTTGCCCTTCCTGAATTATTCCTGGGCATAGTTTTGGGTACGAAGCTTTGGGAGACGCAGGGGACGGGGGGACACCGACCAACACCGGTTCACCATGGTTTCACTTTTCCTTTATTTTGTTTTATTTCGGGGTGGGTGATTTACTGCTGGGTTTGCGTACTTTATATATACATATTAAAAAAAAAAAAAAAAAAAAAAAAAAAGAGAGAGAGAGAGAAAAAGCGTTCCTCTTTTGTTGTTGTTGTTGTTGTCGTTTCTCTTTCATCCCGCCTGTAGGACCGGCATGATGGAGTGCCCAGCCACAGTTCCAGGCTGTCCCAGCTGGGATCCGTCTCCCAGGGACCCTACTCCAGCGCTCCTCCGCTCTCTCACACCCCGTCCTCGGATTTCCAGCCGCCTTATTTCCCACCCCCCTACCAGCCTCTTCCTTACCACCAAAGCCAGGACCCTTACTCCCATGTCAATGACCCCTACTCCCTAAACCCCTTGCATCAACCCCAGCAGCACCCCTGGGGACAGAGGCAGAGGCAAGAGGTTGGATCAGACACCGGGTCACTGCTGCCACAGCCTCGGGCCGCCCTGCCCCAGCTCTCGGGACTGGACCCCAGGCGGGACTACCACTCGGTACGGCGACCAGATGTCCTGCTGCACTCAGCTCACCATGGCCTTGACTCCGGCATGGGGGACAGCCTTTCCCTGCACGGCATCGGGCACCCGGGGATGGAGGAGGTACAGGTAAGGCAACGCGCTTCTTCCTCTATGGGCGATGCTTTCCACCTGGGAATGGTTTTGGTGTGGGTTAAAACGCTTTTTTTTTCTTTTTCTTTCTTTTTTTTTTTTTTTTTTTTTTTTTTTTGTTGTTGTTGTTTTGGTATATATATATATATATATACATATATTTTATGATATTGCCCCTTCCCTCCCCCAGTTCATTTTTATTTTTTGCTTTTTCCCTTTTGATTTGTGTGTTCGAGGCGAGTTTATCTCATAGCTGTCACGCACGGGCTCTGCTTTGCCAACTGTCTGCTGCAAAGAGCAGAGTGCGTTGGGGCAGGCAGGCTCTGCTCTCTCCACGTGCTTCCAAAGCTGGCAGGGTTGAAGCCTGGCTTTTCAAATCCCAGCTATTTCCCATGCAATCTCAACTCCCCCTCCACTCCCCACGCTAATTTCCTTCACTCCAGGGACTTTGATGAAACTGTCAAATTACCACTTTACTTTTTTTTTTTTTCCTTCCATCCGTGAATATCAACAGAACCCAAATCGAGAGGGGTTATCGGGACAGAACCGTCCCCATCCCTCCTTTTTTAAGCACAATTATTAGGGTAGCATTGATTTTACGTAGTTCGGTTCGCTCCTTTGGATGACAAAGGAGTTTCACGGGGAGGAAAGCGCAGCATTTCCCAGCCTTCCCCCATCCCACGCGAAACTCATCGTCACGTGTTGTTTCCTAAAAACAAAGTGACCCTTAACAGCTTCGGTGCTGGGGCGGTTGGCACCTTGCTGGAACAGGGCACGGCCCCTTGGTGGGGGAAGGGATGGGGTGGGAGGCTTCAGCCTCCGGCATCGGGCTTCAGAAAGTCAGGGTTTGGGGGTTTGCCTTTCTTTCTTTCTTCCAAGTTTATCTATCAGAGATACGAAGAAGATACGTATTAAAACTTGGAATACGCAAAGGAAAGGGATGAGGGAACGAGGCGTAGATTGCAAAGTTATAGGCAAGGGGAAAGGAAGGAGAAAAGAAGAGAGGAAGAATAGCAGAAAAGGATCCTAGTGAACATCAGTGGCAGAGAAGCAGAAGGGATATATGGCATCAGCCTAAGGACTGTCTAAGGGCTGCAAAACAAAACAAAACAAAACAAAAAACCAAAAAAACCCCTTGCTTGGCTGGGAATGAGGACTTCAGGACCAGGAAGGTTTTATGCCCGGTTCTGCTTCTGCCTCCGAGCTCCATGACCGACGGGTCATTGGTTTCTGCGGGTTTCTAAGCTGGTTTGGGAGACCTGAGGGTAGTCTTGAGCCCCACGGGAGCAGTGTGCAGGTCTCGGCTCGCATTCCTCCACGAATGCAGCAAGAGGCTCTGCTCCCTCTGCCCTTCTCTCGCTCAGCAAGCGAGAGGCGTTAAGTACTGTTTGTGCTTTGATATTTATACCTTCTCCAAATAAAAGCCGGTAATTGTTGGCTCTTGTGAGAAAGAGAGAGAGGGGAAGAGGGGAAGAAAGGGGGAAAGGAGGGGGGGGAGAGGTGAGAGGAGGAGAAAGAGAGTGAGAGAAAGAAGAAAGAAAAGAAGAGGGATGAAGGGAAGAAAAAGGAAGGAAGACAGGAAGGAAAGAAGAAAAAGGAAGGAAGACAGGAAAGAAAGAAGAAAGAAAAAAAGAGAGAAAAACTTCAGGGAGGGATGGAAAAAGGAGAGAAAGAGAGGGGAAAAAAAAAAGGAGAGAGGGAGAAGCTTTGAAAAGCTCAGAACAGCAGTTTTTCCCCTCTTCCTCAATGAAACATCCCCGAGGCTTTGAGCTCAGCCTGCTGCTGCCGCACACGGGCTGCTTCCCCGGCTGGGGAAGCGATGGGGAAAGGGGAGAAGCAGCTGTGGCTGCAGGCTGAGCTGTTTGCTCGGGATGCTAAAGGCACCGGGAATGGAAGCGGTCCCTTCTTTGTAAAAGTTTGGTGGCAAACTGAGGGAGGAGGGGAAGAGGGAGAGGATATCCCAAGGAGAAGCACGTGAAGGGAGAGGTGTCCAACTGCAAGTTAGAGCAGGCAGAGGGGAAAGCAGCCCAGTCCTCTCCTACTGTTCGGCATTTTCTATTCTTGTCCCCCCTCCCTACCAACGACAGATGAAACCGGGCAATTTTCCACCGAAAAATTTATTATGGATCAGGTTCTGCTCGGGCTATGAGGATTCCCGTTATTATCCAAGAAAGTCCTTCCAGAAATGGTCCCAACCCTCTTTTTTTTTTTTTTTTTTTAATTTAATTTAATGAAGTCCTAAAAGTTGAACTGCCATAAGGTCAGACAGATGAAGACGTGTATCTCTGCTTTAGCTTACGCACCTCTGATTAAATAGATGCCATGGGAAAGGGTTGGGCTGTCAAGGGAGAGAAGAGAGAGGAGGGGAGTGCGTGACAGAGAGAAACAGTGGTTATTATATAAACACCAAATCCAGGCCATGTGTAAGCCATTGTCCAGGGCTAGAATTAAGTGACTGCAACACGATAGCTCTCTGTTATTGTAAACAGGACGTATTGTATTGCTATTGCTGCCCCTTTCGAGAGGAATTCTCAATCTGCCACTGACGGCCAAAGGGAGGGGAGAGCCAAGACCTACTTTTGGAAAACAAATTTGCATTATTTCACAGCGGCGCTGGAAAATGCCACTGCAACTCCAGATGATCCTTATTTCTCTTCACCATTTAGACCAAAGCAGGGCTCTACTAGAAATAGATGGGGCAACGCTGTGCACAGGGGAAAATCCAGGCTTAAAGGAAAACAGGGTTCTTTAGGATTTCCTCTCAGATACTTCCCTTGCTGTTGGATAAGGTGTAGGTGTATATACATGCGACATGTGTATATATATATATATATATATGAGGTATTTATGTATCTATGTGGCATGTATATGTACGGTATGCCTGGCATATATATATATGGTATGTGTATATATATGACGTGTGTATTCATGTGGCTTGTCTACATATATATGTGTACATATATATGGTATAAAGGAAGCTCCATGCTATGGGATTATTGGCAGAGGGGAGGGAAGGCAGTCTTTCTCTCTCAGTTATAAGCATATCAGGGCCCCCATCACCACCACACACCCCCCTTCAACCACACATCTCCACTTCTCCTCCTCCCCACGCTCACGGCCGTCCCCTCCTGTGTGCCAGCAAGAGGCACGGAAAGTTGAGTTGCACACCAAAAAACACCCAACTCTCTTATAAAGTAACCCCTGGTATCACTTTTAACTAAAGAAGTCTAGTAATTAAAAGTCTGAGTTGTTTTTCCACGTTTCCGCATGCAGTCCTAATTAAATCTTTACGATCCTCTCTGTGACTATTAACTGCCAGCATGCTGAGCGAATATCCTGTACAAAAACCCAGCAGGAGGGCGTAATTAGATAGAAAATCAGACAGGAGTCTTCTCATTAACTACAACAACTAACCCACGTTGCTGATGGAGCGAGCGGAGTGCACGCACGCACATAAAGCGTGTGCACAGACCTATACCCCAGAGATAAGGTGAGAAAAGAGAGGAGGGGGGGAGGAAGGACAGGGAGAGAAGATGGCGTTTCGTATTTACCTCCAGCTCTGCGCCATCGAGTCGCAAGGCGCAGGACTCCGGCAGGCTGCAGGATTTGCTCATCATCCCTCCTCGGCAGCTGCTGAGGGAAAGGAGGGAAGAGTTTGTAATTGTGTGTTGTGCCCTTTAGGTATGCGGGCTATTGATTAGGGGAGAGGCTGAGCCACGCACGGTGTGAGGAACAGCCTTGTGAGCGCGCTTTGGAGCTCACGGTGCAACGAAAGCAGTGGAAAGGTCCATGGGAAAAATTGCTCCATCACCTTTTTTTGGTTTTGAGGGGGGAGATACGATTTTCTCCTAAATCGTATCAGGGTTGGAAAACTGGAGATAAGGGCTGAGGTCGAATGAGCTCAGCTTCTCGGAGAAGCCGATATAAAGTCGAAATAATAGGGAAGGGAATCGCCGATCTGTTGATGTTTTCCTTGTGGAAAAAATATATGTAGGTGTGTGTGGGAGAAGTTCTTAAGTATGGCATACCTTGAAAATTAAAAGGAGAAATTAAAAAAAAAAAAAAAATAAAAATAAAAAAAATAAAAAGGAAAAAATAAAAAAGGGAAAGGAAAGGAAAAAAAAAATCAGGGTAGAAAGAAAAACAACAAATAAACAAATGAAGGAGAAAAAGAAAAAAAAAAGAAAAAAAAGCCAAGAAGTGTAAAAAGCACACACAGGTCCTCCTTCCACCTGAAACCCGGAGTTCACCCTAAAGCGGAACCTGTGGCAGCTCCGCAGTGAATTGCCCTCTCCAAGCTGCTCTGATGGAGGTGGTTTCGCTGCACCGAGCTCTGATTTGCGTTGGTTTGCAGTCGTGGACCACACCATCAAGCTGAGATAAGCGACCCAATGTGGGCTCTGCCCCTCTTTGTTCTTTCCCCTTCCCGAGCGCCGTAATAACAGGTGTGCTCTGACAGGGACCCAAAAGAGCAACAAATCGTAAAAAGGGATATATATATATTTTTTTTTTTAAGGAGGATCGGGGGGCCTTTTTTTCTAGGCAATCGATTTCATAGCTGGTACTTCTGATAAGGCATAACCCCGCTCGGCCCTCCCGGCCCACAAATTGGGAACCCCGGGAGCTGTAAATCCCTTTCTGCTCACACCCTACACGAAGTGGGCGTTGCGCTGCTCTTCAAATCGCCCAGGCTTTAATTAAAAGTCCATAACGCAAACTATTCTATGTAAGAAGTAAATGGCCCTTGAATTATTAAGATGTAGCGGGGTTAAGCAAACAAACAACACGAAAATAGGAGAGGTGGAGGAGGAGGAGGAGGGGGGAGGGGAAGAAAGGGGAGGGAGAATTGAAGTTGTCCTTAATCGTGTTCATTTATGCCATGCAATAGATCTTGCAGATGTTGCTAAATTGCAGGATTTTCAAAGGGAGAAATGTAAAGCTTTCTGGCATGCAAAGAAGTCCATGAGATAGCCACGGTTTTATAAGATAACAAAACCAATATTGCGCCCCATATGCTTCACACCTCCCTTTTTTTTTCCTTTTCTTTTTTTTTATTAGGCGACTGTATAATTTGTAAGAATTTCATTTCCTTGTCGTTTGGGGGGAATAATAATAACAATAATAGGACTAAAACTCCCTCCTCCCCTAGTGAATTAATATAAATGGAAATAACAGCAACCCCAGTTTGGGATGACATGATTTATGTACGCGGTTCTTTAATATCCAGTCAATTTGAATAGAGATGTTTTTATATCCACAGTCAGTTGAAGATGCCAATAACAGCGGTATGAACTTATTGGACCAGTCTGTCATTAAAAAAGGTATGGATTATTCCAACGAGCTAGACAAACTTTTACAGTGTGGCAATACCCTCGTGATATATATGTGTGTGTATATGTATATATATTTTACTTCGGGACAATGAATGGATCCGGGAAGGAGGAGACAGCAAGATGAAACGCTGATTGGGTCTTTAGATAGAGAGAAGAGGGAAGGGAAGGGAAGGGAAGGGAAGGGAAGGGAAGGGAAGGGAAGGGAAGGGAAGGGAAAAGTCAATCTCCCCCCTTCCTCCAATCACACCCTCAAATGGGGCACCCCATGCTGTCCCTCATCCCCAACAGTCCTCCATGGGGATCGCGTGGCTTTATACGTGGAAGAAAAAAAGAAAAAGGAGGGGGGGGATGTTGAGTCCACTTTTGGGCTCCAGTGCATCTCCCAGGCGGGTGGGAGGTGGAAGGGAGAGAAAGTAATGCCTGTGGAAAGCAGTTCTGCCTTCTTTCCCTTCCCCCCTCAACCTCCCCTTCCCCCTGCCTATTTTTTAAATCTCCCTACATATGCGCACATGATTTAGTGTAACTGCAGAATCACCCCATACTGTTAAAGGGAATGTGATATTAACAAATGTTTGCAGTCTCTCGTACAGCTGTAAGCAAAATAATTAACTAATTAAACTAATTAAATGTAATTACAATAACTCATTTCGGGCGTAATGCAGCTGCTTAATTTTTTTTACATTTCTCTGACAGTCACTGGAAGATGCTTGGCGATTAGTGTTGTGTTATGCTGGTAGACATTAAACAGATCCCACACTGCAAATGTAGGGGAAGCTATCTTTAATTATCTAAGGAGTTTCTATTTCTAGATTCAATTTTAAGTACCAGAGACGAGGCTTAGAAACGCTGGCCCTTATGCTTACGATCAGCAGAGCTTATTTCCGGGACCTTATGATTTGTCAAACCCTCAGTGTAGCTACAAACACTTAGGATCTCGTAGAACCCAAAGCAAAATAATCGGAGTGTTTATAGTGTTTATTTAAAACGCGTTCAGGGCAGCGTGAGGTCCTTCCGTTGTGTTTATTGTTTCTTGTTTCAACCCCCGTGCGCCTTTACCACGAGCTTGCAGTTGGTTGAGGGATGAAAACTCCAAGATCGTTTGCGGCCACCGGTTGGAAACGTCGAAGAGGGAGAGACAAAGAATTCCTTGCTTAAAGGGAAAGGCGTTAGTTCGGCTTCTGTGCTTTGAGTGGGTGTTGCGGTCAGGATCTGCAACCTGACGGCTCCTGGTGGTGTTTTTCCCCTTCTCCCCTCTCTATTCTCCATCCTCCCCTCCCCACCCCGCTTTGCTGCCTCATGAGCGATGTTTCCTCGTGGGCGTTGTTTGATTAATTGGTGGTTGATTTGCGGTCGGGAGCCTCCTTTATAACGCTGGGCCGCGCTCGCACGTTCGTTTCGCAGCGTTTAAACCTCTCCCATCCTCCCCTCGCCCCACACACCTCCATACTCCTCTTCCATTCAGATCCGGCACGGATTAAGGACAGGATGAAATGTGCCCGTTGTGCCTCGAGCAGCGGAGATGGGCACCGCGCGGTGCCATAGGGAGAGATACGCTGAGTTCTTACCGGCGTTACACGTGCGCTTTGGAAATCAGATTACTCAAAGGCACCGAGATCCATCTCCTGCTGTGCTAAAGTAGTTGCGTTTTGTTCCTAATGAATCTCGCCAGCAGAAGGGCACGGTGTGGGTTCGGCTGCGAAGTGGGAGCTGAGTGAAGGGTAACGTTTGGGGCAGGCAGTGGGGAATGGAATCATAGAATCACAGAATGGCCTGGGTTGCAAAGGACCACAATGCTCATCTAGTTTCAACCCCCTGCTGTGTGCAGGGTCACCAACCAGTAGACCAGGCTGCCCAGAGCCACATCCAGCCTGGCCTGGGGCCAGAGGAGTGGCACATAGAGGCTTCCATCCGAATTTCACTTTGTTCCCTGTGCTATGAGAGCTACTTTGGAACAAGAACAAGTTATTTAAACTCTGTGAGCGGTTATTGCAGGCAGAGGATGCAAAGAGTTATGGGTTGGAGCCCTCCTCGTGTTAAGTATTTACTAAATAAGCAGCAGAGGAGATCTATTTCACCCAAACGTAGCATAGCTCCTAAAATGCTTTAATTAAACTGTAGTGAAAAGAATACAACGTGAACTCGAAGCATCAAGTTAATTATATCATCCAGGCTGCACGTGCCTCCTTCTTTATGGACTTTGAGGCCTGCAGAGGGAATTATCTATCCATCAATGCAAAGGGATTGCCAAAAATATTAAGGAAATCATAAAGGGATTCATAGGCAGCTATCGATTTATCTCGCGGATCGATCCTGCACGACGGATCCCTCGTACGCGGCCCCTTGTTATGTTTGCTATCTGAGCTTACTTGACATTTCTGAAGTAATTTAGTTAAGAGGAAATGAGTTGTTCCCAGTAGAGAGAGCAAACGAGTGGAGTGAAGGTAGCCAGCGTGATAAATGGCTCTTTCATTTGGAGATCTCCAGAGCTCGTTTAAGGCTAATTTTCTGTATTAGCCCCCTTTGAGCTATTAATGCAATAGGCAGGGACCGTGGCCCCTCATCTCTTAGCTGCCCCATTAGAGCGAGCATTAAGCTCCCAAGCCTGAGCTCTGCTGCGGTGGTGGCAAAATAATGAAAGGTGCTTTTAAAACTCTCCTAATCTAAGCTGGCAGAGGGTGGTTAATACGATTTGAAGGGGGCTGGTCAATGAACAATCAATAAACTAATAATGAGAAGGATTCGGTACATTAACAGTCTCAAACTCCAACGAGACATTAAAAAATCATCGTTCACTCCTAGTCCCATTAAGATTTGGGTGGTGGGAGTGGGAAGGAGGGAGCCGGATAAATCATCGAGATGATGACAATCATCAAGGGAACGAATACCAGATTTTAACTTAGCCCGAAGAACTTACTGGCTGCAGGTTTGGAGGCCTTTCCCTCCGTTCCCATTGCAATGAAGGGCAGGTTTTCCAAGTGTCGGCTCCCTTCGTCATCTGCTCATCTGAAATTCGCTTGGCACTCTCTATGGCAGAATCAGTCGTCGTCGCTCAAATCCCTGCGTGGCCCGAGCGAGAAGTTAATTTTTAGTGACTCTGGGGCACAGTCAGTGACCTTAACGTTATCCCCATGTATTTATTTACTTTCAGCTATTTCTGAAGCCTGGCCTTACCTTCACATCAGATTTAGCACGAAGGGCCGTTTTAACCCGAACACCTCTTTCGTTGTCTCCTTGCTGACACGCTCTCTTAACGACACTGTTTTAAGGAGAGATATGAAAGGAGCTCTCTTAACTTTGTTTTTCCCAAATAACTCTGAGTCGAGCAGAACTCCTCCCCACCCCCCTCTTGAAGTATCCAGCAATAAATGATTAACTGAAAACCACTCCGGACACAGCCTTCCAGATGATAGATCTGGGAATCTGCGCCTTTTCTCGGGCTGCCCATTGAGCCTTGAGATTCCTTTTTAATTTAACGCACAGCAATTTCGGAGGGAATATGTTTCACTTTGAAACGTACTCCGGCATCCAGGGTGAAGGGGAGCGATGAAGAGAAGTCAGGAATAAAAGGGAAGGGGACGCTTACACTCTCTGTATTTGCTCATTAAGTCTTAAGTAATGATTGGGTCTTTAGTGGCAGCGGGCAGTCATTGTCCCTCTATTTGGCGACAAAGGCGGATCCAATCACCAGGAACAACACAGCCTTGCTGCTCTGATGGACTTCTTGCTCACTTCACACCCAGTAGGCAGAAAGGGGGCTGAGGGCTGTTTGACACCTCTTCAGTAATTAGTTCGCCCGCGCTGTTGGCTAATAAGACATACTAATCGCCATGGATTGTTCCATTAATTGATTGATTGATGCATCGGCGATCATATTATTTTGCAGCGTTACTGCGGCGATGTCCGCAGCTCAGAGCTCCTGCTTCTTTTCTTCTTCTTCTTTTTTTTTTTTTTTTTTTTTTTCCAGCTATTTTCAGGCCACGATTCTATTTATCCCTTCAGTTTGAGTGGTGCCAAAATGCCTTTTTAGTGCCATTTACGCTCCTGCGTGCGCAATTTCGCGCGTGTGTGGAGCGCAAACCCACAGGAAATCACCACCAGCACGAAATAAATAAATAAAAAATAAAATTAAAAAGAAAAAGGAAAAAAAAAAAAAAAGAACCAACCCCTAAGACTTAATGTATGCACAGAAAATTGTAAACATGTAAAGAACTGAAAGCTTCACGCTGAGTTTCGCCATGCTCCATTTCCCCACCATTTCCTGCTGTCGTTTTAAAGCGATCTCGCTCATCTAGAGATCCCGTTTGCAGGAACAGTATGCTTATAATTACTAACAAATCAAGCGGCTACTGTTGCTCTCCCGCTTTATTGATAAGCTGAAGAGAAATGGAAAGGGAAGGGATGACAAAGAAGGTGGAAGTCATCACGGGGTGTGAAAGAGGGAGGGAAGAAATGGAGGAATGGGGAGGAAAATAAATGATTTGAGAAGGAGGAAAGATATGAGAGCGGTCACGCCCGTAATTAAAGAGAGTTTTGGAGCGCAGGGACAAGAAGAAGTAAATCTGGGGGGTGGGGGGGGAATAAATAAATAAAGTTGAAGCGGAGGTGGTGGGGATGCTGTGCAGGAGTTGTGTGTTGTTCTGTCAGCAAGCAAAGCAATCCCTGAGCTACGGGAAGGCTGAAAATCACCTCCCGTTACGGTGCGCATCGGTTTGCACGCCCGCGGGGCTGTGACACGCGCAGCGCACACGCGGACGCGTGTGGCCGTTCTGTTCTCTCTGCCTACAGCCGGAAAGCGACAGCCCACCATAAACATACAGATACGATGTAGATAGCGATAATTCATTCCGTGGCAAACACGGGCTTTTTTTTTTTTTCTTCTTTTTTTTTTTTCCTTTTTTTTCCTTTTTTTTTTGTTTTTGGAGGGAGCATTAGGTAATTTACAGAAGATGCAGAGCGTAGATAGAACACATCTCTCTGAAGCTATGAAATCGCGATAGATATGCTTGCACCGCCTGGAAAAAGCTTGTAGAATGGGATGGGTGTTATTAAGGCTCCCAGCTGTGTTCGCGCAATACTTTTAGGGGAGGGGGTGGCACCGCTGGGAGCAAAGGGGCTCAGCAGAGCAGGGAAGGAGCCTGACTGCTCACCGACAGCAATTCTCAGGGGAAAATCAACCCCCCGAGCACGTGAAAACCCCTATTTCAGAGGTTAACAAACGTGGGAAGTGGCACGACGGGCGGTGTGGGGTCTCTTGAAAGCGTCGCAGGGGTAAATCTGTCTTTAGTGAGTTTAGACTAAGATCAGATGGCCGCGGAATTGTTGCCTCTTGTTTAATTTCTCAGTTCATTGGACAGTGACCTGATAAAGCGGTCACTAAATATAGCCCCGGTAGAAAGAGGTGAGCCCGAACCACCGAGTCCATGCGTTTGTCCGGAGGAGGAGAGAGAAAAAAAACAAAACAACAAAACAACAAACAAACCGACAACCAACCAACCAAAACCAGTGATGAAAATCCATTTGGTGTGGCAACGCATGAATCCAACTCTTTTTTCACTTTGTCTTGATGGTGCGCTCGCATGACGCTGCAGAGCACTGCATGTGGCATATACGATACATCTACGTATAACGGGGGGCAAGGCAGAGTCTTTTGCTTTTATTCTTACTACCCCGAAGGAGTCTCTTCCTATAGAATCAACGGCAAAAATCCCATTAAGAGCAAGGGAAGGCCTCTAAGTCTCTTGTAACTGTTACTGTGCCGATCTCCAACTCTTTGCAAACGCCTTTATGAGCTGCATAATGTGCCCAACTAAAAATAATAAATAGGAATCCGTTTCACTTTCCGATTCCCCGAAGTAAAGCCACTCTGAATAATTTGTTTATACTGGGGACTATATAGAAGCAATACGTATATCTGAAATCGACATGCCTTTTGGTTTTTAGCTGTTATAGGGTTTTTATTGTGGGGGTCTGGTCTGGCGGTAGGAAATGATCTGTAATAAAAACAGTGCAATACGGTTGTGTCTATTCCATACGCTGAGGTTATAAAATTGGCAATTGCCCAGTAGTTAGCACTTGGTAATATATTAGGATACCCGATCTTATTGTTTAGCAACTCCAGACGACTTAAATATCCCCTCAACCCTAATGGTTTGATTCTCCAGATATGTCGCAAATAAACAGGGTTTTTATGGCTAATAGCCGGCATATGCGCAGAAATCAGAGCCCTCTGATTTGCCGGATGGGTTTTGCAATTGATTTGAGTGGGAAGACGGCAAGAGGCCGAAGCGGTATCAGCGCTGCGTGAGGGTCTGTAATCAATTCAAGCGTTCTCCTCCGCGGTCGCGGAATTCTCTCCGCGCATCGCGGTTGCGGCGATCCGCGAGGAAGCAGCGGTAGCAGCTGTCAGCTCTTATTAACTCCTACATAAAACATACCTTAAGTACGGTTTGTTATCAATTACTCGCCGAAATGAAACAACTGGGAAAAGGAAAGGCGAGGCTCCCTATAAATTAAAGCGATTGGTTGATTGATCAGCGCACCTGCCGTAAATCAGAGCGGTTGCGCGCAATTACGAGCGAGCAGTTGAAGTCCATTGGCAAACAAACGGCGGTCCATTGCTTGTTGTTTGTTTCTGAGTGGCTCTGGATGCCGTTATGGGGATTTGCTGAGTCTGATTTCCTTTGGTCTTAACACAGCCCTCGTTTCTCAGAGCGATGGGGTACGTTGGTCGTGGGTAGGATAAAAAGTTTCTATTTTGTTTTGGTTCGCCTTTTTTTCTTTATTTTTGTTATTAACCTTTCCTAACTTCCTTTCCATAACTTCTAGTCCTCCCTTTGGGGGGCTGGAATTTGATGATCCTTGAGGTCTCTTTCGACCTAACCCAACCTTTTCTATGATGATACGTAATACTGTATCCAGATTTCCTTTCAGTAGGAACAGATGAGTTCCCACTGCTTTGAGGACAGCACAACACGGTTCAGTTGGTGCACGTCATGATTAAAACCGAGAATTTATTTTTCCGCTGTTCATCTTTTTCTATTTTTTTTTTTTATCAGACAGAAAAGGCTCGTTTTGTTTCATAAACCAGACTTAATAAAAACACAAAGCAATAACAGAGCTGTCTTCTGGTTGCTGTATCCTCCAGCCTCCACACTTATTTAAGGCAGCAACTCCCTCAGTGTAGTGAATTTATTCCTGGCTCGGCTTAGAAGTAATGGGAAACATGAGCGAAAGAAGTAATTCTTTTTCTTTCCCTGCAAAGCGTCAGGTGCTGTCAGCTGTACAAAAACAAGGGGAAGGGGGAAAGGGAGGGGAAGCGAGGGACGGAGAACCCAAAGTTGCCAAATACTTCAGACATGTGTTGTATTTCTCAGGCCTTCACAGGGGCTGTGCTGCATCGCCATCCTTGTTATTATCACATTCCTTGTTATCCTCACCCGGGGGGGGGGGGAACAGCCCCTTTTAGTTTGCTGTAGAGCTGAAAAGTTCCCTTTGGTTTTGCTCTGCTGTGTGAGTTAGAGTGTGTTAACGCTATGCTGTTCGTGCCATGACGGTTTCTTCCCCTCCCTTCCCTTTTCTTTCTCCAGTTCCAGTCCCTCCAAAATCCGTTACTTCTTTGATGATGAATAAAGATGGCTTCCTGGGTGGAATTTCGGTCAACACCGGAGAGGTGTTCTGCTCTGTCCCCGGCCGTTTGTCTTTGCTTAGTTCAACTTCCAAGTACAAAGTAACAGTGGGAGAAGTTCAAAGACGCCTTTCTCCCCCCGAGTGTCTGAACGCATCCCTGCTAGGAGGAGTGCTGAGAAGGTAAGGGGTTGGGGAGGCTGTGTTACAGTGAGGGTAAGGTGGAAATATTCTGCATTCGGGCTCTGAGATGAATGTAGGGGGAGTGCAGCCAAATCAAGCCCGGTGTAGCTTTAATCAGAGCTTCTCGAAATACAGACAGCCAGCAGCTCGGAAAAGCAGTAATTTGGATTTCCATCCGGAGAGGGTTGCTATCGGAATCCTTCGCTGTTGGTGCAAATCACCTCCTAATTGCCCGGTCGGTGCTGCTGAATAACTCTAAGTAGTTAACATTATCGGTCCTTTTTAAGTGAGAGGTAGGGAGCGACCTCCAGGCCTGGGTACCAACCCGATGAGTGGGAGATTGCTCAGTCACTAACAAGAATTCAAGCTCCGAAGTCATCGGCTGGATGAACGCGGAGAATGGGCTTTATCTTATGAAAGACTTAATTGCCAGCGTGATTTTCCTGTAGGAAAGCTGAGCTAAGAACATACATCGATGAGAACAGGAAAGACGTTACGATGGAGGTTCTCCCAAGCCAGTGGAAATATGTCAGGCTGGGGAATAAAGAGCGACTTCAGGCAGCTCACTGACAAGTATGAATTGGCCCAGAATAAATTTCAGTTTATGCATGGAAGCTGCAAGTCTTACAGTAGGGAGGATGTTGCCAACTAGTAGGCAAACACACCGTGTTTGTTTGTTTCCTTGCAATTATTACAACATAATTATTATTAATCGTGTTGAGGTCAGGTGCTCTGGGTCTGGAGAAGGGTACCATGCCCCGCTCCGTGCAGTCACCCTATAACACACGTGGGAATGAGGAGCTCCTAAAATAGCTGCTGTTCCACATGAATGTCTGTAATCAATGCTCAGCTGCGATCTGTGCCAGGGAGAGGAGCAGAGGTTTGCTTAGAGACGGCAACCCGCCTGCAAATGGAGCAGGAGGACATTGGAGAGATACAGTGTAGAAAATGTAATTATCAAGGTAAAGAAACCTCATTATAGAGCTTCAGTGGATTACCGGAGATGGCCCAAGCCGTAATCATTGGCTACTGCTGACTTCAGTTCCTATCTTGAATCTGAATTTTAGACAAGCTTTGGTTCAGGGCAGATGAAATATAGGAAGCTGTTCTGCCGTGTACCCCTATTTACTCTGATAGCAAATATTGAGAAGTCAGCCTGCTTTAGAGAAAGCATTGCCGGCTTCCTTTTTGTAAGCGTGACTGCTGAGTCTTAAACGTCTGTTGAGTAAGAACCAAGAAGTGCTTGGGATGGTCTGTGACCTCAGTGCCAAAACTCTCACTGTTATCACAGGTGGAAGGCTTCCACCCCTCGAGCTGTACGTACCTAGGGGTGTGTGAACAATAGCTCCGTGTTTCCCACCTATGGCTCGTTTATCCTTTCAGTGTCCTTATCAGTAACCTCCGACAAATATTCACGTCTTCCTTCAGGCACCCAAATCCCCGTGTAGAACGCGGTGCCTCTGGCTGAGCGTTGCCTCTCCGCACGCGTTCACACGGGCACGAAACCTATCCCGAAGTTTCCTCAGTGCTTTCCTCCCATTCTGCCTGCCCGCAGTTCTCCCTTCGAGCATTTTTTTTTCCTCACCTTTTCTTCTTATTATACCCGGACTAAACGATTATTTATTTCTCCTCTATCTTTCTGTCCATCCCCACGCTCCATCAACAGAATGCCATACAGTAGGAACTCATTTGTTCTCTACCTCACAATCCTCTGCGGTAATTATTGCTAACCGGCATTATTTGATTTCCCTGGGTAAAAGAGGAAGAAAAGTGGGCTCATCCCCACTCCTACCCCTGGGAGAAATTAAGCAAATAGCAGCGAACTCGGGCACAAATCAACACACTCAGAGTGCCGAACACAGGATGAAAACCTTTTCAGGGCTCCACTGACTGCACAGACTGAACGTTTCTTCCAGGAGCACCGCGGGGCTTAACGATCATCTCGATTTCTTTGCAATTCTAGAGCCAAATCGAAAAACGGGGGGAGATCTTTGCGAGAAAGGCTAGAAAAAATCGGTTTGAATTTACCAGCCGGCAGGCGTAAGGCTGCAAATGTCACTTTACTCACCTCCCTGGTGGAAGGTAAGCGAGGTTCGCAGCTCCCTTCACACCCCCTCCCACCTCGGGGCTGGTATTTCGCGAACCACAAAAGGCTTTGGGGGATCAGGTGGGAAAGCCTCGAGGAGGTGAAACGCAGGGCGGGTTGGAGGAACGCTTGTCAACGATCCCGTCCCCCAAAATGTCCCCGGAGGGGGAATTGGTGGCAAGAATGGGGTGTGTTTGTGTGTGTGTGTGTGCGTGTGTATGCTTGAGCTGGGCAGTCCCGTTCCTCATTGCTATCAATTACCGGGCTGTGCTCTCTGACTCCACAGTCTGCTCCATCCTCCCGCTAATTCCCTCATCCCGAGTTTGTTTGTGGTTGAGGCTCATTATTTGTTGACTCTCAGTGAGGGCAAAATTATGTTTGGTGAAAGAAATGATCAATCGAAGACTTAGGAACACAGTTTGCCCTATAGTGGGTGGAACAGGACAAGGACTTAAACTATTCCCAAGGAAGCATAGAAGGAAGGGAGGGCTGAAGTTTCATCTCAAGTCATAGGATACCCTGAATTGGAAGGGACCATAAGGATCATAGAATCCAACTCTTCATTCAGCTGATGCCGTTTTGGTGTTTGGCGTGTTCTTTTTGATTTATTGTTACTGTATGGAAGAGCCATTCTTAAAGCCCCTAATATGTTTAGGATATGTGTAAGTTTATGCTAAGGGAAGTTGGACCTTCGCCAAAAAAACCATAACCAGAATAGTGCGGATGCAATTATGAATTGTATGTATCTACCTTACACACACACACACACACACACCGAGAGGCGTAGGAATAATCCACTTATCTCCTCCACATATGAGCATGCATAAACATTTGTGCTAGATATCAACTTTCCAGCTCTTCTTGGTGGAGTTGTGGCAGCGATAAGCCCTCACTGCATGCAGAGCAGGGGCTGATAGCAGCTCCTCGTGGTAGTGCAGTGCTCAGATATAGGCACGGGGGTGCCCGCTATAGGGGATGTGCAGCATTATGGATGCACCCAGGGTGTTGAGCCATAGGTGTGAATGCAGCTGTGTGTGAGAAAGTCTACTCAGAGCAAAAGCAAAGCTGGCTTGCAGCCCACGAGGTTACACAGTGATGCGAAACCCCACGTTAAGAGAGTAGGAAGGTGCGCGCATCTCTCCCCTGGTTTCCTTACAAATCAAGAGCAGTTTCTCTCGTGAGAGCTTCCTTCTTTTGGAATAAGCTGCATCTGATGTAAGGTGAAGTTTGCTTGGTGAGAGCAGTCAGGCTCTGGTGATGCTGTCATTGTGCTCCGGTCAGCATCAATTGAGTGTCACCGGGGGGATGGGGTGGCTGCTGTGGGGACACCTCAGCTGCCCTCACGTTCAATTAAGAGCTTTGTTGATTAGGGAGAAGCTCTGGGAAGCAGAGATGACGTTGGAAGGCAACTCCTGGTCATTAAAAATAACACGGGCCTGGAGTTATTAGACCTATCTGTTTTGTGTGTTGGAAATCTTCCCCTCTGCTCCCTCAGGCAGTGCTTTAAAGGGTTTAACACTTTATTCTGAAGGAGTTGAGCTGTAATCTGGTGGAATCCCCTTAGAGTCTGCTATTTCTTTTTAATTACCTTTCCCCCCTCTTCTTTTCTACTTTTCTTCAACTTCTGTCCTCTTCTCGTAACACAGAGGGGTTTGATGACATGAACCTCTCTGTAGGCAAGGAATTAGAAAGCAGGCAGTGGAAATGACAGTTATAATTAGAAGAATTAGTGTTGTTCACAGACAAAATTGCCATCAGTTTATATCCTTCCATAGGTCAAAGAGGACTTCCCATTCCTGGTGATCAGTTAAGAGAGCAGAGTAATGAATTCCATCAAACAAAATAGACTTACTTTCACCATTTTACTGATGTGGCAACAACTGTGATTTAAGTGCCGTGTCATCCTGTACAAAATCAACATCAAAATTAGCATTATGTCCACATCCATAAAATGTTGGAGCATGTTCTTCCGCAGTATTGAAATAGGAATATTTTTGGTGCTCTAAGGGAAGGTTGAGTCCTTCTGTCTTTCGGGACTTGTTGAGTTTCCCCTTTTTTTGGCCCAGTTCACTTAAATTTGTGTGTGTGTGTGTGTATGTGTTCTCTGCCACAGTTCCATATGGGATCAGTTGCATGCATGTCTATAAGCCATCCCTCAATACGTTGCTGCAGAGACGGCTGTAAATCTGTACCCAAAACTTCCTATTTCCCCCATCGTAAGATTTATAGAGGGATAACCTCTGCAGCTTGGCCTTAAGTTGCAGTTGGGTTTCTAAATGTGACCCTAAGAGCTGCTGTCTCCCAGAGAAGCAGCGTGCAGCAGCAAAGCATTACATGAAGCCCTGGCAGCTTGGCCCCAGCCCAGAGGTATTAATGCCCCTCTCATTCCATGCAGGTGAGGCTGTTCATTTAGCCCGGGATTTTGGGTACATCTGCGAAACGGAGTTCCCAGCCAAGGCTGTTTCTGAATACCTGAACAGACAGCACACAGACCCCAGCGACCTCCACTCCAGGAAAAACATGCTGCTTGCTACAAAGTGAGTGCCAACTTGTCCGTCCCTCCCCTGGAAAAATCTTCCATTACCTTAAACCCTATGACTGAGGTCAATTTAAAGGCAGAGAGAGCCTCCAGTCCCAAAATTATAGTAGCCTCAGGGGGAGGAAGGGGTGCCCACATCATCCTGTTGGTAGGGTAGCTCTTACTGTTTGTGTGTCACTCTGCAGTGGGACAGTGTTTTCCTTACGGAAGATGCATGGGCCTGAACCCTGCATCTACAGTGTTTTTTTTTCCAAGCCATCCTCAATCCAAAAACCACCATGAGAAGGCAACAACCAAAAAGTGGCTTACTTCTGCACCGTGGTCTGTCTCTCCTGCTGCTCATGCACACCTGTCAGCCTGCTACTAAATTGCAATGTCTAATCCAGATGGTTTAATTAAGAAAAAAAAAAAGAAAAAAGGGGGAAAAAAGAAGAAAGCAAGGTTGGAAAATCCAACAAAAACACTACGAACTGATAATTGCCCTCACTTTTTGTCCCCTCGACCCATTTCTCTCCATGGGGACTCTGTTGGTCGTGTTGTATGGGATGACTTGCACCCAGCTGCATCTCCTAACTGAGCGCTCAAGTCCTCAGTGGTGGTGGTGCTGTGTTTCTATCTCTTTTGTTGGGGTGAGGAAAAGGAAAAATAAGGTAAAAGAACAGCCGAAGGAGCTCTCATTTATTTCATGCTCTGGGACGTGGCTTGCCTCCGATGACAGCGTAATTTAAAGAAATATATGGAGGGTTGAAAAATCATTTGCTCAAATTTGTCCAGATGTTTTTTAGACGTGATTGGAATTTGATTGCCCTTTTCCGCAGGGTCAGAAGATATTAATGTCCCAGAACTTTAATTGCTCGCAGACCCTGCTCTGCTCTTTGAAGATGTAAAATGTTGCACTCATTACTGTTTGTTCTCCAAATTCAAAGTTTCCTCTCTTGCACTTTCTTAATGGATAATACACATAGAAGTAGACCTTTATCTTTCTCCACCCTCTGAAACCTTTAACCCACTGGGAATTTCAGGCGATGAGAGCTGAACTCCTTTTTTAAGTGTTTCTTTTTCATTTTTTTTTTCCTTTTATGTCTTTTTTTTTCCCCATGCTCTTTTTTTTTTTTTTTTCCCCCTCAATCCCTGGGTAGGCATCTACTCAAAGAAATTATCCCATTGGGACCCCCTCCACCCCCAGCTCCCACTTTCCTACGTGGTCTTGGCACCTGTTGACATGAAGGCCTTCTGGACTAGAAAGACAATGAAAAATAAAGAAGGGGGAAATCATATAAATAGTAATAATTGAATATGATTTTCAGAAGTGTGGAAAAAAGTCAACAAGGCCACACATTTCCTCTGATGCTTCAATTGGTCTTTGTCTCCTCAGAACAAAATAGGAAGTGCTGGTTTTGATAAGCCAGAGTGGAGCTCTAGAATCCAGAACTTTCTCAACAAGTTTGTGTGGCCCAAGCAATCTCAAAAAAGATTCCATTTAGTCCATTTACCACATCCTCAGCAGCACATGAATGTGATTTTTCTCCAGAAATGACACTTGAGATTTGCTTTGGTCCAGATGGGTGGTTGGCAGATGCATGGTGCATCTCCTACTCAGCCTGGTCATTTTTGGGTGCACCAAGCAGGGTTGGGTTTTCACAGTGCTTTGGAGATGTCCTTGTGATTGCAGGATAGATTTGTATCTCTGGACCTTCTTGCAGTCCTGCAATTGCAGAAATGTGTTTCCTGAAGAGCATCACCCTAGTTGTGGATCCTAAGCATCAGTTGGTCTTGGATCTAGGATCTGATCTTGGTCTAAGATCAGATGATCTTGAAGGTTCGTTCCAACCTGAGCAATTCTATGATTCTATGATCATCCTAGGATGATCCTCAAGCACTGGGAGAATCATAGAATGGTTTGAGTTGGAAGGGACCCTTAAAGTCTATCTGTCCCATTTCCCTGCAGTGAGAAGGGACACCCTCAGCTCCACCAGCACCCATCCAGCCTGACCTTGGGTGTTCTGCAGGGATGGGGCAACTACCACTTTGTCTGTACAACTTGTGCCAGTGCCTCACCACCCCAATTACAGAGTCACAGGTTCTATGGAAATCCTAAAGGGCAAAAATGTTCCATCCTTTGGTCTGGGATCAGCTTTTGGTTGAACACGCTCCTTCCTTCAACCTTGGTTGTCTCAGAGAACCGTGTTAAGTGTGAGATGAGTCTAACCTCCTCTTTTCTCCCCCTTTCTCTCCTTTTTTTTTTTTTTTTTTCCTCTTTCTTACCTTTCTCTCTTCTATTCAGGCAACTTTGTAAAGAATTTACAGATCTCTTGGCCCAGGACAGGACACCCATTGGAAACAGTCGACCCACCCCTATTTTGGAACCAGGCATTCAGAGCTGCTTGACTCACTTCAGTCTCATCACTCACGGCTTTGGGGCTCCCGCTATCTGCGCCGCCCTCACGGCCCTCCAAAACTACCTGACTGAAGCTCTCAAAGGCATGGACAAGATGTTCTTGAACAACAACACTGCTAACAGGCACACATCTGGCGAAGGACCAGGTAGTAAAACCGGAGACAAGGAAGAGAAACACAGAAAATGAGAGGAGGAAAAAAAAAAAAAAAAAAAAAAAAAAAAAAAGGAAAGGAAAAGAGGAAAAAAAAAAAAAGTTAAATAAAAGGAGAAAAGAGAGAGAAAGAGATAATCTTTTAAAACAAAACCGTCTTAATTTTAGCTTTAAAAATATCGGATTGGGCTTTGGAAGAATTCTATTAGGTAGGACAAAATAATAATAATAATAAAAATAATAATAATAAAAGAAAGACGATAATTTAAGATCAGAGGAGCACAATGGCGCAAGACCAGTGGTTCAGAGTCTCTTGCCAGGAACATGTGAAGACAACCACCAGGATTTTTTTTTTTTTCCCACTTCTGTTCTTTCACATTTTTTTTTTTTTTTAAATAATGATTTGGGGAGGGGGAGGAATCTAATAATAATTAATAATAATAATAAAAGAAAGAAATGAATAACTTATTGGAAGAAATCGGAGAAACATTTTTGGTGTCAGTGCTTTGATTTCTTGAGCTGCACGGTCTGTCTTACTCTGATTTGATTATTATTATTATTTTTTTTTAACGACGTCCTGTCTCCACCTTAGATAAAACAATCTTCCAGAGTGTTCTGAGCAACCCATCACCTCATCCCCCACTCTTCCCATCTCATCTCACCCCTTTAGCTCTGTCTAGACTAGGAAAGGAGGGCAGGCAATGCCTGGGCTCCCCAGACCTCTCTCTCGAAGACATCACCATCAACCACTCATGGCTGTGTCTTCGCTTAATGGCATCAGATGGGACGCTTTGAGTCATGGTAGCTCAACCCAATTAGCTCACTCTAGTTCTTAAGAATGCCACTGTTATATTTTTCCTGGTCTAGACAGACTCTCTGTTTAGATTGCCAACGTTTACAGGTGTGTATGTGTGCGTGTGTGAGTATGTGTGTGCATATGCTTATGCAGGCACATAACCCCTCGGGGTGTGCGTGTGTGCTATGTATGTTTGTACATATATATGTATATAGCTGGACATATACATATATATATCTAATATGTGTGCATCAACCACACATATTCATGCATGCAAACATACCTTTGTGATTTAGTACAATGCCTTGTCTGTAATGGGTTGCAAAATTTGAAAGTAAGGTCTGGTATAATGTCAGTGCTATCTGATTTCTTAATTTCTGAGGTCTCCTCTTTCTCTAGGGAGTTTTATATTCCTAACTATGCCAATGTTTCAGTCCTTAATTTCCTCGAGTAGAGTGTGTGTGAGAGATATCTTTCCCCATTTTTAAAGAATTGTTAACAGCAACAACAACAACAAAAAAAATGAGTGATATGAGTATGTAATTCTTTCTCAGGAGTATGCACTATTTTATTTTCTTCTGTTTCCTAAAGCTTTGCCCGCTTGGCTTATGAGCTTCTTCAAAGAGGACTAGAGATCCCTACACAATATATCAGGTACAGAGAAAAAAAATCCACAATTCTGATATTCTGATACTTTTTTTGTCTTTTTTCAAATCAAAGCCAGTTGTTTCTGAATTCCGTAGGTGCACTTCTTTAAAGAAGCTCAAAGGGAATAATTGGAAGGAGATAAAACTATGAGTTGAAATCGAGGTGTGATACTGCAAAGAAAATAAGAGCTGTGTTGAATGTTACCTCGCTTGCTTTGCACCGGGGCTTTGTACCAGGGAGGAAAGGGCTGCCATGTGAGTTGGCTCCTCGTGATGGGAGCGGGGAGGGTTTGTCAGGGAATATCCTGGTTTCTCATCTCAGTCTGATGAAATCTGCTTCTCTTAGAAAGCTTTTCAGAACTGTCTTGTGACTCTTGCTTTGGAATGAGTCGATGAGGTAGGGGGAAATCTGCTGAACTCCAATGTTTTTCTCAGTGGTTTGGTGTGTGTGACAGGATGTCTTATGCATATGATTTGGGAGGGGTGGGGGAAGTCTGATTTCTTCCTTTTTTTTTTTGTTTTTGTTTTTAGCATATCTTTTTCTGTCTTACACGGTAAAAAAAAAAAAAAAAGCTGAAGTGTAAGGATGTGAACTGCTGTTTGGATTCTGTCCTATTGTAATTGCATGTATTTCTCAGTGGGGCAGGATTCATGTGCTAATGCATCTTTTTGCTTATGTCAGAACAGTTTCTGGGTATGCGTGGGGTAAAGCCTGGCTCTCCTGGAGTTGATGGCAAAGATTCAGTGGGAACATGGCCCCCCCTAGTATCTCTCTTAGGTTTTCAGTGCTGCGTGCCACCAAGCTGAGCAGGCACAGCTGATTCCCAAAGAGTAGGGAAGAGAAGCTGTAATCTTGGTTTAAGTCCTAAATATCTTCCAGAGTAGACAGTGAAGAGAAATAATTTAGCAATACACTTCTCCTTGGCCTCCAACAAAACTTTCTTAAAGCAAAGCAGATGAAACTCTTGATTTGTATCCATAACGCCCCAACTATCTTAGATAATACAGAAAAAGGAAGTATCAGCTTTCATCCCCCATGAGTTGGACATGTGGCAACAGAAGCCCAGGGATTGTCCTGCCTTGATCAGCCCCAGGGAGCACCCAGCCCTCGTGAAATGCTCATCATCCTTGGTCCCTGTGGGGCAGAGTGCTGTGGGCATTCTCATGTGAGCAGAGTGGGAAACAGAGGCAGGTGGGTTGCTGGGATGAGCTGGGACTGGCCTTCAGCTATAGCAGCAAGCAGTGTGTTTGGCAGTTGGCAGATCCCTGCAGATGTCCCAAGAGGAAGTGTAGCTCCTTGGGCAATATAGATCTCACAAAATCCCTGCTGTGATGCTGGGGACCCATGGACTGAAGAGCAGCCCTGGCCCTCCAAAGCCTTTTCCTTGCCCATCACTGCCCTCCATCCCCCTGGATAGCAACAAACTGGATTCCAGCATATGACATGCTCTAGCAGCAGGATGCACGAGGAGGAGTAGGGATGTGGGTGGATGTCTAAGGAGAAGAATCAATGGCACAACCTGAAAGCAAATCTGTCCATTGAGACTATTTTCTGAAAGCCAGCTCAGTGTCAAACATCATTTTGTCTTTGTGAGGAACACATGGATCCAAACTCTCCAACATCCCCAACCTGGGGGGATGCTACACACCAGGGAGACAGCAGGTTAGAGCTGAGCCCTCTCCAGCTGCAGGGGCAGGGAGACATGGAAACCCACTCCTCATCACCCAGGAGCTTCCAGCTGAAGGTCTGGGGGGCCACGGGGGGGCTCCTTGGTGTTGGAGGGGATGCTGGGGGTGCTCTTTCCTTTTAAATGTGAAAGGGCAACACACCACCACTGTGACCTAATGGGGAGAGGGAACTGCTTGCATCTTCTCAGGGAAAGATCTACACGTTGTGAGGGCCTGATCCTGCTGCTGCTGACATCTTCCCTAGGTGAAGGTTTGGTCTCCTGGAGCAGGACCTAAAGCCTGGGAAAGTCAAAGGGAGAGTTTCAGTCGACTCATGGCAACTTTGGATCTGCTCTTTGTGCCTCCTACCTGGAAGAGACAGACTGCAGAGGCCAGGCTGTGCTTTGCTCAAGCCAAGATAAAATCCCCACTGCTTTCAGAAGGACTGCCCTGTTCTTCTATTCTCTTTTTTTCTTGTGCTTCCAAAGTCCAGAAGAAAAACAAAGAAACAAACAACGAGGTTTCTGAATCAAAAGCAAGCAGGGAGAAATTAGGATGTAGGAGAGTACCCATCCATCTCTGATGAGAGCACACATCTATCTCCTCCCCAGAGGACACATCCATGCTTGATGGCTATGGGTGCTGAGGATGGGGATTCCCCACAGAGTTGATTTCAGCTACCCACTAGAAACTCTTTCCCTGTTGCCCTATTCTTTCCCAGCCCAACCACTCATGTTCGTTGGTGGAGTGGCTCGAACATTTATCTGATAATTGAGTTATTAAAAGATTCCTTTTTTCTCGGGATGGTAAATCAATAAACAGCAGGATTAACTTGGCAGCTTTGCTCTGTAACTCGAGGGATAAGTTTGAGGAGAGACTGAAAAGTTTGTTTTCAAACCAAACAGGTGGGTCGCTGTAAGTTTTATTTCATACTTAGCCTCGCTTTTCCTTTTCTTCTTTAATTACAATTCTGTTTGCTGTTAGAAAGAGCTCAGTTTTCGTCCTCCCCTCAGCTTTTTTTTTTTTTTTTTTTTTCTTCCCTTTCCTGGTTGCTATTCACACAAAGTGTGAAGGAAACAAGAAGGCAATGTTATGGGAAACCTTTCACAGCACGGCAGTTTCTCTAAAACCAAGTGGTTGCATCTTGTCCCACCCAATGGAAGTTCTCTGTGAGAAGCTGCTCCAAGTCCCCTCGCATCCTGGTCCAAACCTCTCCCCATAGCCCTAAGTTTCCATGTGGCCTGGGTGGGGGATGAGAAGGATGGTGTTAAGACATTTTGCTGCCTTCCAGGGTTCACTCAATTCCCCCTCTCATATCTTTCCCATTGGTGTAACGCAGATCCATTTGGTTCGGGTTGAATACGGAGATTTTGGTGCTGGGTTTGGCAGCCCTAAGCATTGCCAGATGGATCCGGGCAAAAGTCCCTTCCCCTCTGGCTTCCCTGTGTGAAAGACCGTAGGCTTTTTACAAATAGTCTATTTTCTTATACAAAGATGAAAAGTAATAAATAAATAAGAGAAAATATCCCCGAGCGCACTGGCAAACGCCGGAACATTTCGAGAGTGGCGAAACGTTACGTGCCAGCGAGAAATAAAGGGAAGGAAAACCAAACCAATGCGAAGCGGTGGAGGAAATAGAAAAATGAAAGAGGATAGAAATACGCTCTCCTTTCTGTGCCCCAAATGATCCCTTTCACCTCCTCTTCTTGAAAAAAAATCTGACCACGAAGTGAGAAATATCAGTTTATCGACTCTTCCTGAGAAGAAACGCGGAGAGGCATTCGGTGTTGAGTTTGTATATATTTATTTATGCTTAATTTAACGGGAATGTGTAAATATGGCGAGCAAGTAGTTTTTGGGTTATTTATCTGTGAATCTATACCTCTGTGAATGGGTGGGGGAATTTAAAAGGAAAAAAAAAAAAA